CAGTCTCTTCTTAAAAACTTCCAGTGTTGGAGCATTCACCACTTCTGGAGGCAGGTTGTTCCACTGGTTAATTGTTCTCACTGTCAGGAAGTTTCTCCTTAGTTCTAGATTGCTTCTCTCCTTGATTAGTTTCCACCCGTTGCTTCTTGTCCTGCCTCCAGGCGCTTTGGAAAATAGCTTGACTCCCTCTTCTTTATGGTCAAGGCCATGGTTTTCCCAGTTGCAATGTATGGCTGTGAAAGTTGGACTATAAGAAAGGCTGAGTGCCAAAGAATTGAGGTCTTTGAACTATGGTGCTGGAGAAGACTCCTGCAAGTCCCCTGGACTGCAAGGCGATCAAACCTGTCAGTCCTACAGGAGATCAACCCTGACTGCTCCTTAGAAGGCCAGATCCTGAAGTTGAAATTCAAGTACTTTGGCCACCTAATGAGAAGGAAGGACTCATTGGAGAAGGGCCTGATGCTGGGAAAGATTGAGGGCAATAGAAGAAGGGGATGACAGAGAATGAGGTGCTGGATGGAGTCACTGAAGCAGTAGGCGTGAGCTTAAATAGACTCCAGAAGATGGAAGAGGACAGGAAGGCCTGGAGGAACATTGTCCATGGGGTCGCGATGGGTCAGACACGACTTCGCAACTAACAACAACAAAGTATCTGGGTAGCTTGTCATTCTCAGGAAGAGAATTGTCTCTTTAGCTTCTCCTTTCCTAATCCAATGTTCAGCATTCTCTCTTTTAGTGAGGATGGGCCCCTTTCTGGTTTGGCAGAGGAAGCATATAAATGATCTAATTTTTTAACAGTAGATCCTAAAGAAATATACGTAGCTGAATGTTAAACAAAGCAAGACTTTCATTAAAGCAGAGAATATATAAAGGTGAAGTAAGGGTGATGTAAACTTATCTAAGGTCAAGGTGACATTAGACAAGGTGTTTTAAGTTAAGGCAGTACTAGGAACTATGTGGCTGACTATGTGGTGACTCAGCTATCAGGAAAAGGAGGTGATTTGATAGGTGATAAAGAAAATTCTATTTATGATTCTGTAACTCTTAACAAAACATTGGATGCTAGATGAAGTTATTGATGTAAACCTTAAATATCTTAGATATATACTCCAATAAGAAGGCAGTAGTCATTGGAGAAGTTCCTGATGTTTGGAAAATTGAAGTCAGTTGGAAAAGAAGCCAACATGAAACAAGATTGCAGAATACCATCACTAGTGACACAGGTATAAGTGTAGAGAAATTTGGAAAAAGTTATTGGTAGAACAACCTTGTGAAATAATGTTTCTTGGTTCACAAAGCAGCCAGAAGCAGCAGAATTATAGTAAATAGACAACAAGAGAAATAAGCTTTTAATTCAAGCACTCTGGTCATTGCTACAGAAAGTGATGTAATATTTATAGAAATATGGGACACCGGAGAGGAAGAATCAGCAAAGGTTCTAATTAAATTATGCTAACAAATGTAGAGAACGACTTAGCAGATACGTCAGTCCACATAGCATTACCAAAGAATGGAGATTTTAAATATGCAAAATAATAGGAATATTTTTAATATCGTGTGCTGGCAAAATAATGGTTAAGATTACTGAATGCA